TTTTGGAGAGATTATACAAATATTGTTGGACCAAATGATGCTCAATGTGTTGTAGACCAGTTGATAATTCGCAGAGATAATTATCAAAATTTCAATTTTCAATATAAGTTGGATGATGATGTGCTAAATGCTATGTTTTGGGTTGATGAAACAGGAAGAGAAAACTACAATAAGTTTTCTGATGTTATATCAATGGATGCTACTTATAGAACAAACAGGTAAAATTTATATTTATTACATAATATTACATAATAAGGGATAAATTTTACAAATACTTTCAGGTACAATATGATATTTGTTCCTTTCACTGCAATAAACAATCATGACAAGACAATCAACATTGGAGCAGGACTAATATCAGATGAAACAATTGAATCATACTCTTGGTTGTTAGAAGCTTTTTTGTCATCACATAAGAAGAAACCAACAATGATTCTATCAGACATGGATGCAGCATTATCTTGTTCAATAGCAAAGGTGTTTGAAGGATGTACTCACAGATTATGTATGTGGCACATAATGTCAAAAATGCCATCAAAGGTAACAAAAAATTTAATTTAAACAATTACATATAGCTTATGAAAATATACTAATAAAACCAAATTTAACATGACAGATTGAAGCTGACTTAGTTTCAAATACAGATTTCAAGAAACGAATAAATCAACTAGTTTGGAATATGAATATTAAACCAACAGAATTTGAGAACAAATGGGATTTGATGTTGAATGAATTTCAATTGAAGGAAAATAAATGGTTGGCTGATATGTTCAACAAGAGAGATAAATGGATTCCATCCTATTTCAGAGATATACCAATGTGTGGACTTATGAAGACTACATCTCGATCTGAAAGTTCTAATTCCTTTTTCAATGTTTTCTCAAGTCCAACAAACTTACTTGTTAATTTTATGTTCAACTTTGACACTGCACTTTCAAAGCAGCGTCATGAACAAAAAAGATTAGACATTGCATCAAGAGATACTTTGCCACAACTACTATTTCCAAATGAAAATTTGAAAATAGAAAAGCATGCATCATTGGTATACACTCGAGAAGCATTCATAAAAGTGCAAAAACAAATAAAAAAGTCATTCTATCAGTGTTTTCAAAAAAATTCGGTTTTGATTGATGGTCTTCAACAATGCACAATTGTCTACAAAGAACTAAAATCAGGCAAGCGGCCAGAATTTAAGGTATTCATTTATGCTACTTCATTATTATTTTAATTTAACATTATTTATAATTTATAAATATATTTTTAAAATAAAATTTTATTATTACTTCTCAGGTTTCTTTTGATGCAAAAGATGAAACAATTGAATGTGAATGTTTGCATTTCACATTTTTTGGAATCCTTTGCAGTCATGCTTTCAGAATTCTTATAGATTATGACATTGCCATGATACCTGAAAAATACATTCTGGATAGATGGAGAAAGAACATAGTGGATATTGGTTTTCAAAAGATAAACAAAAAATGGAGAGTGTGCAGTACAGAAATTTCAAATCTCTTGCAGGATGCAACTTCTTTTTTTGAAAAATGCGTTGAATCGGTTATTCATGATAAAGAAAAACTACAAGGATTGGTGAACTCTCTTCAACAATTAAGTGAAACTTGTGGAAAAGATGTTTCTACAAGATCAAGTTCAATTCCCATAAAAGATGTGATTGAAAATATCATTGGAGTTCCAATTTCAAGTGATGTGAAAATCAAAGTACCAAGTGAGATAAAAACAAAAGGAAGTGGAAAGAGGAGTCGAATCAAAAGTGCTGCAGAAAAAGCAATAGCAAAAGCACTTAAACCAAAACGCAAATGCAAAGGATGCAACCAATTCGTCAACCATGATATAAGAAATTGCCCAATAAATCCTTCAAATGTGCTTAGGCCTTTCAAAAAACATCAGTAACTTATATATGAATTTTAAATTTGTTTGTTGTTAAGCTTCTCTGTATTAAAACTATTACTATTAATCGCATTAAACAATTTGAATTTTGAATTACGTACCTATTCTTTTTCCTTCAACATCTTCTCTCCAACTCTTTTGACCATGTCTTTTGACAAATGTACAATTAAAAAAATTAACTCTTTTGACCATGTCTTTCACATACAAACCTTTTCATCTAATAGAAACTTTATATTATACACATGTATATACACGCAACAAATCTTCAACAATGTATAATACTACATAACCTAATAAAATCTTTCATTTATTAGTTAAATCTTTTCATAAATGGAGACGTCAAATCAACTTATTTACAATAAATACAAATGTACAATTAAAAATATTAACTCTAATGAGATTGAAAAATATAATATTACATATTACACATGTATATATACGCAACTAATCTTTAAAAATATATAATACTATATTACCTAATAAAAAGTTCCATTTATTGCTTAAATCTCTTCAAAATTTACAATTAGAAAAAAAATTAATAAATATAGAAGTCAAATCACTTAAATACAATAATACATACAACCCTTTCACATACAAACCTTTTCATCTAATATAGACTTTATATATTATACAATAACTACATATAACCCTTTCACATACAAACCTTATCATCTATTCATAAATGGAGACGTCATATCAACTTATTTACAACAACTACAAACCATTCTATCACATAAAAACCTTTTCATCTAATACTAACTTCATAATTTACATTTAAAAAAAATTTAAAGAAAAAAAATGTAAAAACTATATATAATAACAATACTGTAATCACATTATAACATATAAAAAAAATATTTGCTATATATCAAATTTATAAAAATAGGTAATATATTATTTTGACATACATGTCTTTAGGTTAGTACGTAACGGTTGTTGGTGACTTTTGGAAATGAGCTTAATGACTTATAGATAACTATACAGATGTTAAGTTTGAAATGGCTAAGCAAGTTATCTTTGTCTCATTTGTTAATTATGAAACTCTTATCATATCTTTTTTGATAACCCAATTTTGAATTGTTAAAATAATAAACTATTTGAAATTATGATACTTTTTTCGAAATTTATTACTTAAATGATTTCAAAAATCTTTCATTTATTACTAGAATCTATTCATAAATAGAGAAGTCAAAACACCAAAATTACAATAAATACATACATTTCTTTCACATAAAAACCTTTTCATTTACTAATAACTTTATAATTTATATTTAAAAAAAATTAACATAAAAAATATGTAAAAACTATAATCAATAACAACACTATTATCACATTATAACATACAAAAAAAATTATTTTCTATATATCAACTTATTAAAAATAGGTAATATATACCGATTACTTTTATAAAATACAAAAAAAAAAAAAAAATTACTTTCATAAAAAGATAAGTATTATCATCTTCAATGTATAGATAACATCATTAGCTAAACCTACAACCGCCAAAATAGCTATACAACTTTTTGAAGCAAATGATGGCAGAAAATTAATTACTCCTCTACTTACTCCGATTGTTACCGCTATATATTCCTATTAAACATAAACATAAACTTAAGGAAGAAAACACATACATTGATGGCTTCTGAATCATCCCTTTGGGTAGTTCGAAACACCTCGGATTATCTTGATCTTTACGACACATATGGTATGTTCTTTATTGTTACAATCGTATACTATTAATACTTATATAATATTATTTTCAATATTCATTCAGGGTGGGACAACAAAAACTACTTCACGATGATGCTACATCATGGAGGAAATTTCGAATACTACCCAAATCGCGATTACGATGGAGGCAAGATTGACTATATAGACTTCATCGAGGTTGAAACTTTCTCCCCAAAGGTATTTCAAAGCATCTTAACTTCTTTTGGTTATGATGTTGAGACAACATATGCATACTCTCTAGTCTCCTTTTCTCCCTTAGACGTTGGTCTAAACAAGCTTGCTTATTGGAATGATTTCATTAACTTTGTCAAAAAAGTTAAAACGGAAGGGTTTTTTTTGTGTTCAACAAGTTTATTTGGAGCATAATCAAACCACTGTTACAAACTTCTTCCCAAATACTTTAAACTTTGCAACAAACAGTTATCTGTGCACAAAACTCTATTCATCAGTTGCATCAAATCCAAAAATTACTGTTTGGGAGGCTAGGATCATGCTTTTTGACAAATTCAACTTTTGGATCAATGTTGACAAACTCATTGAAGCTTTGGATTACACCAAGTATCAAGTGAATCTTCTGGGGAAGTAGATGAAGCTGCAAGGTGAAAAGTTGGGAATTTGGAATTTTTGGGCTTTTGGGTTTTTGGGTTTAAGTAAATGGTGTTATTATTAATATTTGGACGTCTTTATAATATGTTTATGTGATCAAACTTTTGGTATGACTGTAATGGGGACTGTAATATATTTTTAAATATTATGTATGGTGGTTGATATAATGTTTATATTATATATTATTGTTGATATCTTACTCTGAAAATTTTAGATATGATGGTTTTAAAAATTATAGATATTATGTACTTATATATGTTAATATTATATATGATTGTAAATATATTAACTTTATAAAAGATTATACATATACAATCAAAATCAAAACCAAAAAAACTTAGCCACACTATTCATATATTATTATAAACTTATGTTCGTAGAAGTACATTACATAAAACCAAAACAAATAACAACCAAAAACAAACAAACATTTATAAAACTTCATAACAAATTGTTCTACTTACTCATTCATAACCATTACTATTAATACTTCTACATAAACATAACGACTTGAATTTTACTTCAACAAATATATATCAAGGACCAAAAGCAGCTAACCTAGCTGCTATATTGATAATGCCTTCATGATACATTACACGCCTGTCATTTGAAGAAATCTTTTGATAATCAACAAGAAGTTGCTCAACTTCATTTTTCATTAAATTTACTTCATTCAATAGAATTTTCATAGAATATCTTCTTCGAAGATTTCTAAGTTGCATAATCTGCTCAACACTTTCCATTTTAAACCCACATCTCTAATGAGCTAAAGGACCACCTTTATAAGTTTCCATATGACGCATCAAAAAAATCCCACAATCATTACTGTTACCTCTTGTTTTCCACGTCATATATTGATCAACAAAATCCATTTCATACATAACTGAAAAAGCCATAAAATGTTTTATGTCTTGAAGATATCTACCAAACATATATTTCTGCATTTAAATATAAACAAAAATTCAATATAATTTATAAAAAATATATACATAACTCATTAATATATATATAAACATTTAAACAAAAAAATACAAACAAACTTACCAGATTTTGAGTTAGATGTGGGTATGGTTTTTCAGAAGATCTATACAAAATGTTGTCCAATATGACAGCTTTGCGGTTTTTAAAATCAAAAACAAACACAAAATAGTGACTGTTTGCACATGCAAAGAACACCTAAATAAACATAAACAACTTCATAGTAAGATACAAACACAAATAGAATAAAATTCCAAAAAAAAATTGAACTTACCAAATCAATTCCTTTTAAATTTCTTCGTTCCTTAGACTCTCCCAAACAATGAAAAACATTTTCTTTAAAATTCTCGTACACATCATCATATTTACATGCTTCACTATGCATGTATGCAGGATCCTAAATAAAAAACCAAAGTTCAATAAACATCATAAAAATATACTAACAACTACTATACATACCAATACTGCTGTCTTGAAGAAGAATCATGAAGGAGTGTCCAAATTCCTAGCTCTCTCATCATAGTTCAACACTTCAACAAAACAATCAATAGTCCCAGAAAAAAGAAATTCTCCTGGATATAAGCTCTCAAACATGTATCTTTCACCACGTTGACCATTTATGCTATGAAAAAGATCATCCCTATTAAAATAAAATAAAAACATTAACTTAAATATTATATATATATATATATATATATATATATATATATATATATATATATATATATATATATATATATATATATATATATATATATATATACAAACACATTACATTGGATTCCCACATAAACTGAATAGCCAATTAGACTTGATATTCTCCTCCTTCGTCAAATTACTATCAATCTCAACAGCTCGTACAACAAATGGAGACCTAAGCACTGGAGGTAACGTTTGACTTCTCTTTGGTCTCGATGAAATCATATCTTTCTCAAGAATTTTAACTTTTCCACTTTCATCGCAAGACTTTGGTTCCTTCCCTTTGACTGAATCAGAATTATTCCAACAGAAACAGAATTATTGTCCACATAACTATCAATACCTCGATTAACTTTCGGAGGAGTATATATATCATCCTCAATTCCTAAATTAAAAGAAGGAATACTCTCAACTACACACTTTTCCTTATGACCATCCTCGCAATCCAGAGGCAACTTATTTTCAATAAATCCATATTTCCCAATCAAATTTGCCGATTCATATTTATTAACAACAACACCTAGACTCACTTTTGGAGGAGTATGCATATCATCATCAATTCCTAAATTAAAAGAAGGAATACCCTCTACTATACACTTTTCCTTATGACCACCCTCGTAATCCACATGCAACTTAGTTTCCATATTTCCAGATTTGCCAAACGAGTTTTCCGATCCATATTTATTACCAGCAACGCTGTTGTTAATAGACTGCCCAACATCTAGAAATTCATTAGACTTATCATCACAACTACTACTTTTTCCAGATGACTGAAAAGGATATTCGCATTTATAATTACTATGACGAAAAGCTTTATATACAGAACATAACTCTTTCAGCTTCATTCCATAAAACTCTACTATTTTCAAATTTCCATGCGTTTTAAAGGCTTTATCCACTTTCTTAGACATATCTACTAAACATCACTTCATTTCTGAATGAAACTCCTGATAACAATAAAAAACATAACAAATTATAATTAATATATATAACTTAAATTTTAAACATAAAAACAACATACAAACAAATAAATCAAGTTCATCTTCAAAAATACACAAATAACATTACTTACTAAAATTGATCCTCTATAAACTTCATCAACACTTTCCACTGTAGCAGATGGCCTTCCAAAACCTCCATTAGAAATTTCATTCATTTCTCTCACTTTCAACTGCTCTAAAGTCCAATTATTAATTACTGGATATCTTCTAACCATTAACATTTGCCTACATTGAATCCTATCAACATATAGCAACTACAAAAAAAAAAAAAATATAATAACAAAATATAAATATTACTAATATTTTAAAAATATTTACTCAAACAACATTAAATTACATACCGTTAGAAAGACACTTGGACCATTGAAGAAGGTCTTAATATCACTTCTACCCCAAATCAACTTTTCCTCTTTTACACAATTTAAAACATACGTACACCAATCAAACTTATCTAACTTATATGATTCAGACAAATACGGTAGAAGCTTCAAATTGCATGCACCTTGTTTGTTACATGATCCAAAACATGTACATACAAGAATAATAAAGTTTGCAACAAACACCATATCTGCTTCACATCGTTCTATTATCTTGTACACAACATCATTTGGAGTAATTAAAGACAACGGCTTCTTGAATTGATCTTTCCATATTTCATACCATTCCTCATTACCTCTTAAATCAACACTATTTAATTGATCAATCCGCATAGGCAGCCCTAACACCCTATTAACATCTTCCCTTGTAACCAAAATATTAGAAACCTCAGTTTTAATAACCATCTCTAAAGGATCAAACGAATCAACAACAAAATAACATAATTTTGCTGGAATACTTTGAGTCTTCATGTCTATCAATGATCCAAATCCTCAATTCCTCACACATTCTTTTTGCTTATGATTCATAGACTTCACAACACCATATATAGAATGAAGAGAAACACGAGAATACAATGACTTTATTTTATCACTATGCAACTTCATTTTCTTTTTAACTTTCTTATCAGCTATATTATCCACCCTCTTCACACTACTACTGGAACCATCCTCAAAATCAGAATCAGCTATATTTACGCCTTTAATTTCAATTGAAGAGAAAAAGCATATTAATATTGATTGTGCGTAAATGATTTCTCCTCAAATAAATACATAAAATCAAAATGAATATATTTGTTCTCATGTCATGTTTACAACGTTTCAGATGTTGAATATATTTTTACGTCTTTAATTTCAATTGAAGAGAAAAAGCATATTAATATTGATTGTGCGTAAATCATTTCCCAACAAATCCCAAACTCTAGTTAAGTTTAAATAACGTTAAACTTCACTTTCACCGAATATACAGGGAAGACTTTTTTTTTCTTCCGAATAATTGTTTGTTTCCCATTTTGGTTTGCTCTCTTCCTTCTAAAGAGACCATTTTGAGTTCTTATTTAATCATCAATCAGCAGATACAATAACCGTTGGAGATTATTACTATTATCTTATGATTATGATATTTATCTCCGTTGACTTGGTCGAAATTGTACAAAATCTAATGTTACTGACATGATAATTAACATATATATATATATATATATATATACCTAGAAATATATATAGGGCACCACAATTATTACAGTGAAATGATAAGCATTTTGAGATTAAATGCATTAACTGTCGCTCAGAAAACAAAAAAAGAGCATCCTTAGAATTACTCGAAATTAAACATAATTGGGGGTGGCGTTGGGTGGTGTTGGAGCCGATGCCACCTTCCCTCCACGCTCGGACCGACTGTTCTCGGCAAACTTAAGACTTGCTTGGTGCATCCCTTTCTGTTTCTCCTCCTCCGTCCATTCAGCAACATAATAATTCTCTTCACTACCTTTGACGATGTCTTGACTGGCCGGAAGAAACATACTTCCCCATTGTGGGAAGTGAACAAAACTTACAGGAAGTGTACAAAGTATGATCATGATACCCATATAAGACAACCCTTTGGCAGTCGAGAATGAGGCAGACGCAAAGAATATCAATTGGGTTAGTCCTGATCCAAAGTTCCCTCCGGCACCGGTCATACCAGAGATGATACCCATTGATCGCCGGGAAATGAAGGGAACGATGCCGAAGGTGGCTCCGCATGCTGCCTGTGCACCGATGGAGAAGAGCATCATAAAGGTGATGGCTAATGGTAGCGAGTTTACTAGGCCTAGGAAGACACAGCAAACGCCGCCAGCTGTTTGGAGTAGCCATAGGTTCCAGAGTCGACCTCTCATTCCCCATCGTTTGGCCATGTAATCCGATGTGAACCCACCAAATGGACGAGCTAGGAGGTTTGCCATTCCGAAGCAGGCCGCAATGATTCCGGCAAGGTGAAGCTTTAGATCAAATCTGTAGATATTTCAATGGATTTATTTAATTGCACATGTATAATTAAACTTTTGTGCAGTGTAAAACAAATCCAAACCTGTCATAGAAGTATTCTGCGATCACATTGTCAATGGTCAACTCGACACCCATGGAATAACCGTAGAGAAGTACAAAGATCCATGTTCGATAGTTTGTCACAGCATACCACAATACCTACAAACGAGAAACAAATTAGAGACAAAGAACATACGTATACGATAAATGAATGGTTAATGATTAATGCTAATTAGATATGAAGGTTTACCTTGCCGAATTTATCTTTGGCAACATCACCCTTCTTCTGAAGAGCACCCAGATTACCATCAGGCAAATCTTGACCAAGAGTCAACACAAATATCCCCATGATTACGTTAAGCCACCCTGGTATGAAAAACGCAATCCTCCAAGCCGTGAACGGCGTTGCCCCGGCCTTCTTGATGATCTCAAACAACACCGGCATCAGGAGTTGCGTGGCTCCACCACCCATGTTCCCCCACCCAGCCGCCGTCCCGTTCACCAGCCCAATGATCTTGCTGTTAAACATGGTGCTCATCCAATATTGGCACGAAACGAACGTAGCTAAAGAAAATCCGATCATGAATCTCACGGCTATGTAGCCACTAGCGTCGCTGACAAAAGACATGCAGAAGACGGTAGGTGCTGACATCATGATCAGGAAAGCACAGCCGTAACGAGGCCCCAACAAGTCGCATACCGCACCCATAACCAGCCTCGAGAAGATACTACCGGAAACGGAGGCAACACCGGCGTTCCCGATGTCAGCTTTATTGAGATCCAGGTTGTCCCGGATGATGGGAACGAGTGGCGCCGCCGCAAAGGTGGAGACAAAAGTGGTGAAGAAAGAGATCCACGAGAGATGGAAGGTTCTCATGTGAGGGTTTGCAAATGAGAACAGCTTAAACACTTTTGCCTTATGTTCAGAGTCCACGGGGAGGTCGAATTTCGCCGTCGTATCAGTGGGCACCATCGGAGACGCAACAGAGAACGCCAGCACTGGTTCCCGGCCGGTGACTCCATGCATCGAGGTGCCCGGAGAACCTTCGATCTCAGGCATTGTATTCTTAGTTCTTTTACTTCTCTCGAATGTGATATACGATTTATATTTGTGTGTTGCTGATGTCTTTATGGAAGAGTGATGATCGTGGTAGACTTTATATAGGCCTCGGGAGAAAAAATAAACAAGAATGTCTGACTTTTTCAGAAGGGTTCATATTCCTAAATATGGTTAATTAAGGGGTTGACAAATGAGAAGGGTTAAGGTTGATAGCTAGTGGGGATTCCCAAAAGGTTGTGATCACTTCTGTATTCTAAACGAACCCCGTTCGCCGCATCCCATTCTCTACTGTTTAGGCTCACCAGATATCCCAAAAGATGCTTATTGCACCAGTTTATAAACATCAGTTGGAAATAGAAGAAAAATTACTAAAATCTATTTGATTCTTGTTTAACGAATTTTGTTAGTAGATTTATAAGTGGCCTAGTTATGAAAAGTTTGTCAACTACATTAAAAGTAAAATAAGTTAATATGTTTGCGCCATGGAATAAATATTACGCATGCTTAAATAATCTATACGTATAACTAAATCAAAACAATACTTACTAGATAAATTAATATTACGCATGCTTAAATAATCTATACGTAATTTTATGACATGGACACTACAAGAAATATACTCTTTAGCGGCGACACTATTACCGGCGACAAGGGGCTTTACCGGCGACTTTAGATAAAGTCGCCGGTAAAGCCCCTTGTCGCCGGTAATAGTGTCGCCGCTAAAGGGTTGTCACCCGAATCCGCACTTTCCCCCTCTATTGCATCTCAACCGTTCGATGAGATATCCAATCCAACGGTTGGGGTGCCTTATCCTGTCTAACCTAATACCGGCAACACAGATGTCGCCGCTAAAGGTTAAAAAAAGTTACCGCTAATAGTCCGCTAAAAATGATGCGGTACCCTTCCCTCCAGTTTGTCGCCGCTATTATTCATTGTCGCCGGTAAAGGCCATGTTGTCGCCGCTAAAGGTGTCGCCGCTATTGTCTGTCGCAGATAAAAAAAAACACACGCAGATAACCTCCCTTCTTCATTTTCCTTTCTGTTTGCTTCCAATTTCCTTCACCATCTCGCCGATTTCCTCTTCAATCTGCTTCTTCCCTGCAAATTTCTCCCCACATTGTTCCAAGCAATGGTCTCTAGGTGTGGTTAAAGTTTTGGGATCAATTTCTACCTCCATTTCTTGAAGAAAGGTAAGTTTTTATGATGATTTCATTTTTATTTTGTACGAATTTCGATTTGTAGCTTTATGTAGTGATTGAATGATAATAAATTGTTCATATTTTTGTTTTTGGTGGTATTGTTTTGGATTAGAAGCAAGTTATTCAATTTTTTGTTTGTGGTTATTGAATTGCAATTAGTTGTATAGCTTCAAGTTGTATCTATATGTGAAATTATGTGAAAATTGTCATATGTGAAAATTAGATTGTATATTCCGTATTTGTTTGAATATATGTGAATTTGGTATATATATATATATATATATATATATATATATATATATATATATATATATATATATATATATATATATATATATATATAGAGTCAAGATCAAATAAGAAAGAAATTTTTGGTAGGAAGGTAAGAAGTTTTTTTTCTACATATTTTTTTCACGAACAAACAAAATGAATCATTAGATGATTCATTTGTAAGATGATTCACAAGAAAAAAATCTCAAAAAAACATCTCGATGATTCATTTATACAATGATTTTGTTGTTATTCACTAAAATTATCATAAAAATGAATTTTTTCTTAATTTACTTAAAAATGAATCATAAAAATGTTTTTTTGGGAATTTTTTCTTGTGAATCATCTTACAAATAAATCATCTAGTGATTCATTTATTTTGTTCGTCAAAAAAATATGTAGAAAAAAAACTTCTTACCTTCCTACCAAAAAAAAATTCTTACCGGATCTATATCCTATATATATATATATATATATATATATATATATATATATATATATATATATATATATATATATTCCAATGTATGTGTGCTTGATGTATATGTGGTATATTAGTATTTGGTAGAAATTATATGTATTTGTTATAAGTAGAATTTTATTTTGTGTATGTGAATGTATGTATGTTTGTTGTAAATGTGATATATGATTGTGAAACTTTTGTATTTGGTATAAATAGGATGTTATTATGTATATATGTGAAATTATGTGTATTTGGTTTAAGTAGGATATTATTTTGTGTGTATTTCTATTTGGTGTATATGTGGTATATGTATGTAAAAGTATGTGACTTTCACCTTCTTATGTATTATGTAAAACTATGTGGTTCTGGTATAAGTCGGATGCTATAATTGAAAAAAAAATACATTATTTTTATAATTTGAAAAAAAAAACACAAAAAAAAACTATAAATTTGT